TGAGATTTCCAGTGAGGTCTCTGGAGAAGGATGAGGCCATTAACAGAGAGAGAAATCAACTTCTGAAAAAGAGGGTGAGATGTTGAGAGCCAGCACCCAGAGGCCCTTCTCCACAGCGTGATGAAAGAAGACCCCAGTTTTCTCTGAGTGCTGCAATTTCAGATCAGACAAGCATCAGGCTGCTGCTACATGGAGGCACCTCGGGTAAATGGCAGGACGTTGCACTTTTCAAACAATAAGGGGCCACACTTAGGGCCAGCACTGTGATACGGTGGGTTAAGCTGCTGCCTGCAACATTGGCATCCCATACGAGTGCTGGTTTGAGTCCCAGCTGCTCCACTCCAATGCAGCTCCCTACCAATGCACCTGGGAAAGCAGCAGAGGATGGCCCAAGTGTTTGGGCCCCTGCACCCATGTGGGAGACCTGGAAGAAGCTCCTGGCTCTGGTCTGGCCCAGCCCTGGCCAATGCAAACATCTGGGGAGTGAACCAGCAGATGGAAGCTCTCTCTGTCTAGTCTCTCTCCGTAATGCTGCCTCTCAAATAAACAAATCTTTAAAAAAGAAAGGGAGGACACATTCAATACTGGGGAGAAAAAGAAGTCACACACTTACTGCAAAAATGAGTTCTCCCTTAGCCTCAGGCACTTCGGTTCCTTCCCCACCTCTTGGTCTGAGGGTCAGAGGCCCTAAAGCACAGCTGTGAGCCAGGGATGCACCTGTGTGGGGCTGCCAGCTGCCTGACGGCTTAATCCGAGCCGCCCCGATCATTTCAGCCAATCAGGGCCAACCGTGGAAGAGACGCTCCAGCAGAGTCTTTGATTTGCTCGGCAAAGAATCCCTAGTGACTCACGGGGTGCCTTGGGGTACGGCAGGTGCTCAGTAGATACTGGCTAAGTCAATGGGGTGCAGACTGAAGCCAGGGGCAGGGGGTGCGCTGACAGCCGGTTATTAGAGCACGGGCCCCCGTTTTTGGTACTGAAGCCCGGTTAGCTAAGTTAAAGAGCTGCCTATGGGGACAAAGGTTTCAGGGAAAGCACTGCACCTTCCCAACCCGAGAAGCTGTCAGGGGGCCAGGCGAGCAGCCTCTGGTTGGCGGAGTGTTTGAAAGCAAGGTTTCAGCTTTCCCTTCCGCAAGAGAGCTGTGTAGGTGTCTGGCTGTGGGCTCACTGCTGCCCCCTGGTGTCAGATGTTGCCTCTGCAGCTCACCGGTTCCCCATCAATTCAGCCTCAGTCAGGGGCAAGGACGCATCCCAAGCCAGGGTGAGCTGCTGCCTGGCCCGCAGGTGGCGAGGAAACAGGCATGAGGGCGCATCACCTCCCTCCACTTCCCCTTGCCTCCTTTCTTCACTGTTATCAGGGAAAGCCGCAGCTGTGTCTCCCTTCAGCCCCCGTGACCATGCCAGCAGACACCCAGCCCCCTGCTCTGCAAGGCCCTCTGGCTCATGAACATCAAGCCACGGGATGAATGACCTCTTTGGACCCCTCCATCCGAGCTCACTGTCTGGCCTCTCTGAGCCTGTGGGGCTGCCATAGGGACCCACACTCATCTGCCTCTCCCACCAGGTCCAGGTGGGCCCTTGTGGAGGGGGACCTCTGGGGCTCCCCCGCTGTGCCTTCCCCTCTCCTCAAGGCCCTGGGCCCCTGGTCAGGGCTTTCTCAGAGCAGCTCTTTGCTGGCATCTCTCAGGACAGCTGGAGCTGTGCCGGCTGCACCCCAGGCAGCGATGGCAGACAGACAGGGCCTGGTGCTCCCGGGGGCCCAGAGCCGAGTCTTGGATGGAGGGGAGCAGGGCGATCCTGGCAGAGAGGTGGCAGGACGATCAGCAACTCCCAGAACTTTCCAGAAGGGCACAGGGAGCAGGGCTCTCATAGCTGCTCCGTGCTGGGACCTGGTGTCTCTTACAGAGGGCTCTGAGACGGGAGTGCCCAGCCAGGGCGCACCGAGGGGCCAGCCCTCATCTAGTCAGAGGCCCAACCAAACCAGGACCAAGGAGCAAGGCTGGGCCCAAGAACTCTAGCAGGAAAGCAGACTTTCGAGACACAGGAACCCTGAGCCTGGCCTGAGCAGCAACTGGGATGCCCAAGAGCGCTTTTTCGGAAGAGCAAGTTCAAGTGTACCATAGCCAGCCGTGGGGCAGGGAAGTCCAATCTTGCGGGTGCAGGAGAATGGTGGAGGTCCAGTCGGCCACCCCTGGGAGTCCAAAAGCAGTGGGCTTGGTTGGGCTGCTTGTGCATATTTATTTATTTAAAATGTACTTATTTATTTATGTGAAAGGCAGAGAGGCAGACAGACAGACACACACACACACACACACACCCCAGCTGGTTCACTCCCCAAATACCTACAACAGCTCAGGCTGGGCCTGTCTGAAGCCCGGAGCCAGGAACTCAGTCCAGGTTTCCTACATAGGAGGCAGAGACCCAAATACCTGAGCCATCATCTGCTGCCTCCCAGGGTGTGCATAAGCAGGAAGCTGGGATTAGGAGCAGAGCTGGGATTTGAACCTAGGCTCTCCAACATGGAACGTGGGCATCCTGACTGCTTTGCCAAACTCCCGCCTTGGCAGGACACAGTTCTCCCTGTGTCAGTCAGTTCTTGCTGCGTAACAAACAGCCCCACAACTTACTGGCTGGAAGCATCTACCATCTGTCACTTCTCCCGGGTCTCTGCTGTTGCTGTGGGATGCCTGGGTTGGCTAGAAGCTGGCTGGTGCAGCCCGGCCACCCAGCAGGCTAGTCCGAGCTTGTCTGCACAGCGTCTGCAAGGGTTCAGGAAAGCATGCGAAAACACGCAAGACCTCATGAGCTCTTGACTTGGAATGGACGTGCTGTCACTTCACCGCATCTTAGCCAAAGTCTCAACTCCAGGCTTTGCTTGAATGGGTTTGGGGAAAGGCTCTGCTTCTTAACAAGGGGTGCTGCAAACTCACATCGCAGAGAGAGAGGGGCAGTTCATCTGACACCATACCCATCTGCGGAAGACAGAACCCGGGGCCCTCTGCACTCCTCCCTTCCCTGGAGGATGAGCTGTGCGGCCCCTTAGAAACACGCAGGTGCCTTCCAGTTCTCCATCACCAAGTCGATTTGCACATGCTCCCAAAAGTCCACACAACCTCACCCATCACCACTACCAGCACCTAATCCAAGGAGCCCTGCAGGATCCGTCCAACTGGTCTATTTGCCTTTGTCCTCACTGCTTTCCAATCTCTTGGCCACGCAGCAGCCAGCAGGACCCCTTCAAAGCTCAAGACCATAGCGTCTCCCCCTGCCCCAACCCTTCAAAGCCTCTGTCAGCCAGTTCAGGGGTGCAAGCAGCAGAAACAGGTTTAACTATGAGGGCGAGGAGGGGCGAGAAGGAATCAGATGCAAAGGCATGGGTTAGCTTGCCCGGTGACTGGACAGGGAGACCCAGGTGGCAGCTGGGCACCAAAGGTGTCAGCTGGACAGCTGGCACCACCATGAAAACCACACAGCCAGCCATCTGGGGCAGGGTGGGGGCACTGTGGCCACTGCTCTGTCTTCCTTGTGAATTTTATTTTTAAAGATTTATTTATTGGGGCAGGCATTTGGCACAGCAATTCAGACTTTGCTGGGATACCCACACCCCTTGTTGGAGAGCCTGGGTTTGCATCTCAGCTCCTTTTCCTGACTTCCAGCTAATGCACACCCTGCAAGGCCCCAGTGATGGCCCAAATCCTTGGGCCCCTGCCACCCATGTGGGAGACCCAGATGGAGTTCCTGGCTCCCAGCTCCAGCCTGGCCCAGCCCTGATGATTGAAGAGTGAGCCTACAGATGGAAGATTTCACAGAGTTACACAGAGAGAGGAGAGGCGGAGAGGCGGAGAGGCGGAGAGGCGGAGAGAGAGAGAGAGAGAGAGATCTTCCATCTGCTGATTCACTCCCCAATTGACCACAATGGCCGGAGCTGCACCGATCCGAAGCCAGGAGCCAGGAGTTTCTTCTGAGTCTCCCATGAGGGTGCAGGGGCCCAAGGATTTGGGCCATCTTCTACTGCTTTCCCAGGCCATAGCAGAGAGCTGGATTGGAGCAGCCGGGTCTCAAACCAGCATCCATATGGGATGCCAGCACTGCAGGCCAGGGTGTTAACCCGTTGAGCCACAGCACCAGCCCCTCTCCCTGTGAATTTTTCACAGTCCTTCCTTCCTTGTGTCACAAGGACCAGGGTAGAAGCACCTGATCAGCGAGGCCTTAGTTTTGGAAACAGAAATCGAAATAACAAAAACCCCTAAACTCCTCACAGTTTCTGCTCAGTCTCCGTGGAGGATCCCCAGGGGTTCATGGCGAGGGGAGAGGTACTGGGCATTCAGCCCCTCTCACCTTCACCTGCTTAGCAGGCTCCCAAGGTCACGAGGGACTGAGCCCCTGTACCCATGTGGGAGACCTACAGGAAGCTCCAGGCTCCTGGCCTTGGCCAGCCCCAGCCCCAGCCATGAGGCCATCTGGGAAGCTAACCAGTGGATGGAAGATATCTTTTTCACTCTGCCTTTCAAATTTATTAATAAATCTTAAAAAAAAAAGTTGTTAAACGTCACAACCTCCAGTATGGAGGATGGGGCCTTTCCCTTTGCAAAGCCACAGAGAGGAGAAAGTTAGCCTGGGCCTCTGGCGACAAAGGTCAAAGGTGAAGGGTGTGACGGCATCCCTCGCGCCTGTCCAGGGTCTGGGGAGAAACAGGCGGGGGCACGGGTGGTGCGGGAGCTTCCCCGGCCTGGAAGGGCGTCGGCCGGGGCCAGCCGCTGGGAAGCCCCCTTCCCTGCAGTGACCGGGAAAGACCCGAGCGAGCAGGACCAAATCGGGCTCTGCGGGGCCTCGCCCAGGCCCGCGGGACCGGGTAGCGGCGTTTCGGCTTCGCCCCCCGCCTTCGTCCTCCCTTAGCCTCACGCGAGCCTCCCAGCCTGCGGGGCAGGTGTGCGCGCGCCCACGCCGCGGCGGCTGGCTGACGGCTAAGCTCCGCCCCCTTGCCCTCAGGCGAGTCTTACCTGGAGCCCCGCGGCGCCACACCTCTGCGCGGCGGTGGGTGACGGGGACCTTTCCCATCTTGGACGCGAGGTCAAGGCGGGCAGCTGGCACGCACGGAGTCAGCCTCCTGTCCGGCGTTGCGCTCCGCGTCCCGGAGCGACGGAAACGGCCGCGGCGGGCCCGTGGGCGCGCTTCTGCCCCCTCGCGGACCTGCAGAGAACTGCGGGGAGCCCCAAAAAGCGCCCGCAGCCTGGGAGTCTCCCTGCAGGCGCCCCGAGGGGCCTGGCTGCTGAGCGGTTAGAGCGGCCGGCCGGCCAGCCTGCAGGGAGCGGGGGGGGGGGGGGGGGAATGCGGGGTGGTCTGCTCGGGAGATCGGGTGTCCCTGACGGCCGCCAGGGCCGCGGGAGTGCAGGGCTGGGTTGCTTCTGGGAGTCATTTCTGAGGCTGCAGCCGGGTGCCGTCTCTTGGTCAGCCCTGCCCGCGGCACCTGTGAATATTAAGTGTGATTTCAGATTAGAGAGCGCTGTAGGGTGTTGAGCCTCATTAAGCTGCCGTATTTCTCGTTTTAACGAGACAATTTGGATTGGCCTGTGTTTTCTTTCTTGTAAGTTCTGCAGCCTCTTCCTACAGGTCTCCCTGCTTCTGGCACCTGGCACCCACAAGTCTTTGGCTCGCATGCTGCAAACCCCTGCAGATCCGCCCACTGCGGTTCCAGTCCGAGTCGTGTTCCATGGCCCCCAGTGCCTGCGTGGTCGGACCCTGCCTGTTGCTCCGGGTCCCCCACCCCCCTTTTTAGAGTTATTTATTTATTTGAGAGGCAGAGTTACAGAGAGAGGGACAGAGAGACAGAAAAGTCTTCCATCTGCTGGTTCTCTCCCCAGCTACGTCACAGCGCGGGCCTCGCGCCTTCCCCTTTGCTCTCTCTGTCCCTCGGCCATCAAGCCCTCTCCCATCTCAGGTGTCAGCGCTGCTGCTCCCGCTGCCTGGAGCATCCCTTTCTCATATGTGCTGCTCATCCCTTTAGATTTTTTTTTTTTTTTAATGAGAGTGGCTGGCCATGAGTGACCCATTTCCCTCTATATGTTTATTTCCTTTATAGTAATCATATTTAGTTCTTTCATAGTAATTACCGCAATCGTAAACCACCTTGTTTATATATTCTCTTTTCTTTCTAGAATGTATCTTTCCCATCTCCCAAGAGGCATTTTCACTGTTGTACTCCCTAATGCCCCAAACACTACCTATTCCTCTTTTTAAAAAAAAAATTTCATTTTATTTGAAAGGCAGAGTTACACAGAGAGAGAAGGAGAGAGGTCTTCCATCTGCTGGTTCACTCCCCAATTGGCCCCAACGATTGGAGCTGCGCTGATCTGAAACCAGGAGCCAGGAGTTTCTTTCGGGTCTCCCACACAGGTACAGGGGCCTAAGGACTTGGGCCATCTTCTCCTGCTTTTCCAGGCCATAACAGAGAGCTGGATCAGAAGTGGAGCAGCCGGGACTTGAACAGGCGCCCATATAGGATGTCTTCCATCCGCTGGTTCACTCACTCCCCAGATGGCTTCAATGGCTGGAGCTCTGCCAATCTGAAACCAGGGGCCAGGAGCTTCTTCTGAGTCTCCCACATGGGCGTAGAGGCCTAAGGATTTGGGCAACTTTCCACTGCCTTCCCAGGCCATAGCAGAGAGCTGGATCGAACCAGCACCCATATGGGATGCCAGCACTGCAGGCGGCAGTTTTAACTACTATGCCACAGCGCTGGCCCCAGCAAGGAGTATCCTGATGAGGCTTTGTCGACTTGTAGTTTTCTTACATGCAGAAACACACACGGAGCCGGCACTGTGGCTCATCCAGCTGGCTGCTCACTCTCTATCCAGCTCCCTGCTGATGCACCTGGGAAAAGCAGTGGAGGATGCCCAAGTGCCTGGGCCCCTGCCACCCACGTGGCGGACCTGGCTGGAGTTCCAGGCTCCTGGCTTTGGCCACTGGGGAGTGAACAAGAGGATGGCACATCTCCCTCTCTGTCTGTAACTCTGCCTTTCAAATAAATAAAATCAATCTTATAAAAAAAGAAGCACAGGTGATTTCAATTTACCTTTTAGGTCTCTGTGACACATGAAATGCCCAGCGTTCTTTACTCCATAGGAACATGGCCTTCGCTGAGGCACTGTGGTTACTGCTGTGGCTGAGACCAGAGAGCCAGTCCACTGGCAGTGGCCTGGGAGTCTGCAAAAATGTGTCCATGGCATCCCCCGCCACGATGACTGGCTGAAGTCTGGCCAGGTACGCTGTCCCATGGGCCCTGTCCCTTCTCCAAATATGCCAGCTAAGCATGAAAAACGGCCACTTTGTACTGCTCTCCCTCCAGTATGGCGGTGAGGATGGTGTCCACAAGGTTTGAGAGCTACTGCTGCCACCTCCTTAGTGGATCCCAAGGGGCTGACCCACGGCACAGACCCAAATGAAAAGGATCCCAAATGCATCATCCCTGCCCCTCTCCTGGGGCTGCAGTTCACCAAGACCCCACTCGGCGACTGAGAAATGGACCAGCAAGGCTCTGGGCTCAGCTCAGTGCACAGCTTATCAGCTTGAAAGGGCTACCCTGCCCCTGCTGAGATCCGATCCCTTGGCCGGTGAGGTGGTGAGACCTTGGCAGACTGGAGACTCTGGAGGATGAAACTTGTAAGCATGGGAGGGGTGGGGGGTCCTGCCCCCAAATACCCGGACTCAGGAGAAACCAGGAGGCAGAGGCCCAGGGAGGAGAAGACCACAGCAACTCCAATATTTGCAAAAGAATGGACAGTGAACAATGCAAGGGTGCAGCATGGATTCTGAATGAATTTCAGCATCTCGCAAAATGCACCAACAGGCAATCTTTCACAGCCATAATCAATACTAGGGTTCAAATTACAGTTATACCACGGATCCTGCTAAGTCAAAACCTGGTACACTGTGTAATCTCAGGGGTGTTACTGGACATAAAGCAGAGGAGAAACAGGTACGCCTCACCTTAACCATCAGAGCTGTTGTCCAAAGTCCCTGTCGTCATAGCGTCCACGGCTCTAATATATCCTGGCGGGCATCTTAGACTCTCTGATCCCATGAATAATCAAATTAAGTTAAGCCTCTGTCACATAGAAATCGGCTTGACAAAACGGGATCCCCCAGTTTTTCCTTCTCCCCTCATGGCTCAGGATAAATTCGACCAGGACCTTTGAAGATTAAGAGCCATTGCACAAGACTTTTATGTAGAGAGGAGGGGATTATTCATAACATTTATCCCTGTAATAGCCTGGTTCACAATGCTGGTGCCTCGGAGTAGATGACTACAGTCCTGAGGCTGTGAGCTCACGCTTGAAGGTCCTCACAGCCAACAGGATTGAAATGGCTCAGTCCGGTCATCAACTAGAATGCCTTTTGCTGTTACAGACCCGGCCAATGTGCTCTGTTCAGCACCTGTCTCAACAGCTGCTCAGCCACCTCGCCTTCTCCGATGGGAGGCAACTCACGGTCGCCTGGCTGCCCAGTGGCTGCCCCACCATCCCACACAGCCCTTGCAGGCCAGATCTTAGCCTCACCCATTTGCCCCCATAGCACCCTTGCTGACTGCTTACTGGGCTCTCCTGGAAACAGAGGCTGTCTGTCTCCATGCCTGGCCGGCCAGCACGCTGTGTGGGCAGCACCCCAAGGCTTGCCATGGCCTCAGAGCCCTCCAATGGCACCCAGAGGATGGACTCAGAACCAGGCCCTCTGGTGAACCTCATTCACCCTCATTCCTTCACCATATGCCACGGTGCTTGGTGACGCTGGTGAACGCGACACTCTGTGGCCACGTGGTGACTGCTCTACGCAGAGTGGCTGCCGTGGGGCGTGAGGATCGCACAAGGTACCAGTGGCCGGGCCGAGTGCCTGGCTGAGACAGACAACCCAGATCACATGGCAGGAGTGTCGCCCTGAGTTTCGAATCACAGCTGATGCTGGGGTGGAGACCATGATTCAGTGAGACGCAGACAGGGCCCTGCCAAGCACACAACACAGAGACTCACAAGGAGGGCACCAATCTCATACTTCTGACCCTAAATGCTAACTACTGAAACTCCCCGCTTAGTGGGGGTAAAATCTACAGCAGATGCTCAGAAGGACTTGGCAAACACAGCACCGACCAGCACAGCTTGAAACACAAGCTCCCAGCAGAGAGCAGCTCAAGGTGCAGGCTTTGCCAGCCAGCTGCAGAGTGGGGCAAGAAGCCGAAGCAAGAAAGGACAGTCCCCAGCGCTCACGGTCAGCACATGGACACCCTGTGTGGCAGCAGTTTTTGGTGCCATCCTGCCTCGTGGGGTGACCACCATGTTGAAGTATCGAGGGGTCTGCCATTAGCTAGCTTTCTTTCTTTCTTTCTTTCTTTCTTTCTTTCTTTCTTTCTTTCTTTCTTTCTTTCTTTTTTTGATTTATTTGAAAGGCAGAGTTACAGAGAGGCAGAAAGAGAGAGAGAGAGGTCTTCCATCTGATGGCTCACTCCCCAATTGGCTGCAACAGCTGGAGCCAGGAACCAGGAGCTTCCTCTGGGTCTCCCATGTGGGTGCAGGGGCCCAAGAACTTGGGCCATCTTCCACTGCCTTTGCAGAGAGCTGGATTGGAAGTGGTGCAGCCGGGACTTGAACTGGCGCCCATATGGGATGCTGGCACTGCAGGCGGCAGCTTTACCTGCTACAACACAGCGCCGGCCCCTGTCATTGGCTTTCAGAAACTCCATCCTGAGGGTAACGGGGAACCACTGAGGACCTTGGGTAGAGGAGGGAACAAGATTGATTTGGGCCTGAGTCGAATCCAGACATACCAAGTGCCGGGAACAGCGGCCTGTTCTGAAAGGTGCAGAAGTGACATGAAAACGTGGTCACCTACAGAAGTCCGGAAGCTCGCGGGTCCACTCCAAGTCCTCCCGGTTCTCAGACCTCGCCCCTTCCTCACCACCCATCCCTAACCCCAGCGGTCACAGCTCTCAGAGGTCAGGATCCTTTGGACACCTGGCTGGGTGGCCTCAAAGGCGGGTCTCTGGGCCATGCGCGCCGTGACCCGGGAACAGGTGACGGAGGCGAATTCTTGGGCCCACCCCTCGCCGGAATCTGTTAACAAATCCTCCCGGTGATACTAAGGCGCTCAGGTGACTCCCAAACTGGTTCTTAGGCAGACACGCAAG